GTGGGCCCAAGAGACGTGCCGGGTGTATCTTCGAATGCGCTCCAGCAGTGTTGCTGGATTAAAGTCGCTACGTCTGGGGCCAGGCGCCTTACGGGCGAAGGGAATAGGCAAACCCGCAACACTGGAACGCATTCAAAGATACACCCGGTACACGCTAAACGACCCAGAACAATATAACAACTAAGGGATCGTCCAGAGAGTACGTCCGCTTTTCTCAGATTCTTTGGGCAAATTAAAGGAGGTCGGCGCCTGCGAAAAACAGGGTAGGCCACCCAGCAGTGCACGCATGCACTGCGTGCAAGATGTTGCCTACCGATCAGGCGTTATGAGAGCTCCCATGGGCGGAACTGGGCAGTTTCGTAACGACAAATGGCGGACGTAATTTCTGGATGCTCCCGTAGCTATGGCCCTCTGTGCGCATACATAACTAGCCTAGATACAACATTCTAAAAGTAACAAGACACATCTCTGTCACCAGGTAGTAAAAAACATGTTTGATACGTTATTGTAGCAGACTAGTTAAGCTAGTGGCCCTTAGCTCACGATATTGTCCGTAGACGTTTAGTGTTTTTTGTTGATTAGGAAATGAGACGTTGGAAGTAAAACAACATAATATCGAGTTTGTATCTCCTTAACGAATATGTTGCAGTGCTCAACTTCTTCCCGATCCCCGTGAGCGACGAGTGTCTGTCAAGCGACGGCAGAAGAACCGGTCAGTGGCCTCACTGGCACCCTAGCTAGCGTCCTAGCTTATGGGTACACATATGATCTTGTTTCACGATTAACGGATACAGAAAAGCTCGCCATGGGTTACAAGTTCTCCTTTCGCCAACAGGGATCTGCTTAAATACGTACGAGTGCCGGATCCAGAACGGGAAGTCCTACGGACCGTGCGCTCTCGGCTTCGGTGTTTGCTGTGTCTGTGAGTGAACCTAACTGAATAATTCTATTGGATGTCGTTAACGCCCTCCACTGAACTGACTCCCAGCGGAGCCCCTTTGCAGTCACGGCCTCGTGCGGGGACGTCATTGAGAACAATGTCACCTACTTTGTGAGCCCTAACTTCCCCGCCATCACGAGGGAGTCTAACTCCTGCGAGCTGGAAGTGAAGAAGGTCTCCCCCGATGTGTCTCAGCTGCGTCTGGACTTCATCCACTTTAGCATGGTAAGTTGTTGTCGTTCCCCGGTGCGAATGAGGTGAACGGTTCCGCTTAACGGTGTGTCCGGTCCAGGGCCAGCCCAACAGGCGCACGGGCGTGTGCGAGTCGGACACGTTCGTGATCGCGGCGGGCAGCAGCAGGCAGTTCAGCGTCTGCGGCCAGAACAGCGGACAGCACAGTGAGCCAAACTCTTGATAAAACTTGCTGTCGCTGTGTCCTTGTTAATTACTCACTGCCCGCTCTTGCTTTTGGACTGTTGCTGCCAGTCTACTTCGACGTAGAGGACATGACAGAGCCCATCACCATCATGATGAACATGTCAAGGGAGCACACATCTAGGCTCTGGGAAATCAAGGTGAGTGTCAGCAACGCCTCGCTGCTGAGGGGGCGGCCACACCAACCCCAAGTCCACCAAGGGGCGGATTA